GATCTAAGAGTTGCGCCCTGACTATCAACTATAACTTTTAGCCTAGTGGTAAGTGCTCGATCCAACAAGTAGTTGTGTCCGCCAAAGAAAGGAAGGTGCAAAGGCTTCTTCCTTTACCCATAAGCAAAAGACATTAGTGCTGCCTTTGTCTCGTTGGGCTATCCTATCCTTGATTTGTACTCATGCTTTAGGGAGTAGGTAGTAGACTAGTAGTAGTCAAATGGATAATTTCCCGTGTGTTTCACAACTCTTCAACCATCGTTAGTTACTGTGGAGGGACCAGTACATGATCCAATTCTTTGAACTATCTTGGCAAGTGACACATGTTATTATTATTGAATAGAGAACGTGCAATTGTTGAAAAACAACAGTTCAAGTCGCACCAAACAGGGAGGGAACTTCCTCTTTCCTATATTATTCAAACATCTAAAAAAAAAATATAATTTCTCACAAAACAGCTCCTATCTTGAACATTTTTAAGTAACAAACAGTGGCTTGATCTACAACTATGGTGGTCAATAATCTAGGGGAAAAAACACATTTACATATACATTTAAAGACTTACTTTACACAATAATTCATGTTCTACATCAAATTTTAATAATTTACCTGTTTAGTTAAAAGTTTTTAATATAAAGATCGAATATGCAAATTCTTTAAAAAAATTTAAAATCATATAATACTTAATTTTATAATTTCGAATTGAGAAATAATCATAAAAATATTTTATACATTGATTTAAATTTATATAATGAAATATCATATGATTTTTAATTTATTTTAATTTATAAATTTGATCTATACATTAAGAAATTTATTAATTGGTCTTTAAATTTTGATATAGAACATGAATTATTTAGTAAAGTAAATTTAAGTGGACTTGACTTACTCTTAAAGTAAGTTAACCTTTCCTCCTTCTATGTGTATATATATGTATGTGTATGTATAAAGATAAAGATAAAAATTTGAATGCAATCCTTATTTATTAACAATAAGAGAAGTATATGATAACAAAATTAAAGGAAATAAGTTCATAATATATTATATTATATATTACACTTTTTATATTTAAAATCATTGATTTATTTTTTTAAATTACAAATAATATTTTATATAGAAATAAAAATATTATATATCAATTGATTAATTGTTGTTGATTAATTTACTTTTATAATAATATTTTTATATAATTTAATTATATAATTTTATTTTTATAAAATATTAATATTCCTTTAAAAATGAACCATGGACGGTTGCTCACTTTAACTGTGTTGACTACTAATGAGAGAATCAAAGCTTCATATTTACCAAAAATAATCTCTTATTTGAACCTTATAACTAATTTCTGAACGTAATGTTGTTTCCAAATGTTATTATTATGAAATCAGAAATTGGATTACATAAATAAAAGTGTTATTCGATAAAAAAAAAAAAAAATCCCCAATATCTATTTCGGTACAATTTAATGACCGCAAATTAATTTTGCGCGAACAACTAAGACGGCCAACTTAAATTCTGCGGAAAATTTTCTTTACAAGGCCCATGGTTAATGTTCGGCCCAATTAGTCCGGGTCAAGGCCTACTAATCCCTAACGTTGACACAAAACCCTAATATCTAAACGGAACCCACTGGCCTATATAATTGAAGCATATTCTGGGGTTTCAAGGAACCATGGACACCGCTTTTCTCCACCACAATCATCTTCTCTCTTAGTCTTTGGCAGTTAGTGAGACGCTTTCTTTTTGTTCCAATGTTTCCTTTGTTTATGTGAGTCTGGTTTTTTCGATATCAGTATTAGCTATTGTTGTTTGGGGGTAAATGTTGACGAAGGAACAATATGATTTGTGGCTTTCTCTGTGATGATTAAAATGATGACGAGTCCGATTATCCATTCTTTACAACCCTGACGACAAATCGAGGCATTTGTCTGAGAGGATTCCACTGTTCCTTCCGTCTTTTGTTTTAGGGTTGGGTTGTTTAATTTTATCTATGCTGATTGTTATATGAATTTTAAACTTTTTTTGTGCATTTTGAAACTTGGCATGGTGATGATGTTTATTGTCATTTGATATTCAAATGAAATCAAAATTCTCTCACTAAACTAAAAATATATATTTTAGTCATAAAATTATTACTTATATACTTATTTTTTTATTTCTAAATATAAAAATTGTGATATGATTGTAAATTCTTTTTATTATTAGATTTTTTTTTTTTTATGTATTATGTTCATTAAAGAGAAAAATATGTTTTCTTTCTATAGAATTTTTTAAGTTTGGATTTAGTTTTCTAAAAATTTTATCCTATTTTGATTTTTTAATTCGAAGATGCACCATTTTTGATCCTCAAAATTATTTATATAACAACTTATAATAAATGATAGTATAAAAGTAAATTGAATAAAAAAATTGTACATATTTTTTAGATTTATTAATTTATTGTTATTTATTTAATATAATAAAACATATTTTTTTAATTAAATCATGAATCTAATTTTATGTGATAAATACTTATATTTAAAATTATTTATATATAAGAATTTATACCAACAAGTCATTAATTTAAATAGTAGTAAAGTCGACTTTTTAAGTAAAATATTGAGATAACCAATCAGTTTCTCTAATAAAAGTTACTTACCAGTCAAGTAGATATATATTTCATATAATAACATGATTATATTTATTATTTCATCTATGATGTATAAAATGTTATAATCGATTTAGAGTTTAAGATTTTGATTGTCTACAATTTTAAAGAGCTATTAACTTATCTTGCAGATATTATAAAAAATATGAGTTTAAGCGTAGAATAATTTTTGGCAAAGCAATTCACTAAACAGATTTAAAGAGAAGGAGTTGCGGTGAATATAAGTAAACATTTCCCTGAAAATATGGTAACTCTTATATTGGTGAGCTAGCCACTTACGTGCCCCAATTTAACCGTCAAAAAATGAATACTAGTGTCTAGTAATGTAAAAGAAACCCATGCTAGTAATTAATTTTTAAAAAAAATCTAGTCTGTAATGTAAACCACAAGGCCAGGCCCAATTAGTTGCTTCAAAGCCTTTCTCTGGACCCAAATAATGGGTCTTTGCTAAACCATTACCCAACTAGCTAGAGGCAGATGTTAAACACACCTCCACTCTCGTATAAACACACCCCATTTTAAAAAAAAATATATAAAATTTCTAAATTACCTTTTTAAAAAAAAATTTAATTCCTAAATTTACACCTCTCTTCTCCGCACCCCCTTCCCTGCACCCCCACACTCCACACCCCTCTTCTTCCCAAAGTCTCTTTCCGCTCAATGTCACTATAAGAGTAATATGAATATACTTTTACAGTCATTTTGAATAGAAAAAAAGGACTAGCCCCACCATAACTAGCATAAGAAAGGCTCTTTGCCGGTGAAGGATTTGACTCTGGTAAGTACCCTTTTTCACACACTTTTTTTTTCTCTTTTAGTTTTCACATGCTACCAAAATAGGTGTAGTGAAAGAAAGGTAAGGGGTGCATGTAAAAATTAAAAAAAAGATGAAAGATATGTGAAAAAAAGTACTAAATTAAATATTATGGATGTAAAATTTAAAATTTAAAATTTAAAATAAAAAAATTAAGAATATTTTAAAATTTAATTATTTTTTTTTAAAAAAGGAGGTGTACTTATAAAAAAAAAGGAGGTGCATATATCACAAACCCCAACTAGATATCCAGAAGAAAGTTTTTAAGTAGCTTATTGGGCCTCCCCCTATTGCAAACGATATTCTCACAGCTTCGTCTGCAAATTAACTATAACTGTACAATCTTCTTAAAAAACTCCTTCTCCACCTATAATTCAAAACCAATATAT